CACGACATGTTCATTGACGCAGCAAGTATTTGGGATCCAATTTCAGGTGGGAAATGAGCTCCCACATAGGACTGTTAACCTCCCTGCATTCTGTAGAGTCTCCTGAGACAGTCTGCATTCATGTTCAACTTACTTTATTGTCTCATTTTATTACATATTTCCATATTAGAAGACCTGTATCAGGCGTCACTCTCTTCAACCCAGTAGTAAACAGAGTTTGGGGCTTTTTGTGCTCCTTTAAATGAAAGTGGAGAGGACAGTTTACTGAGAAACAGAATTATCTTGGGTGCATGAAATCAATCTTTCAGTTAAGTAGCTGCTTAAAGGAATTCAGCACATTACTGGAAGTTAAAAACTGACCTTAACCTGAGGCCTTGTGAGTTTGCAGCAATAAGAAAACACAGCCGTGTACCAACTACATGGCAGTAGCCAAGGCCCAGAGGGGCAAAGCAGGTGAGATGTGGCCCTATCCTGACCTCTTCAGAGTCTTCAGGCATGAGTCTTGCTCCTCAGATTCTCTCTCTCCCTTCCTCTCTCCTGGGCTGAGTCCTGCTCCAGAGCCTTGCTCCAGAGCCCTGCTCTTATAGAAGACCTGGGTTCCATTTCCTGCACCTACCTCAGGTGACTCAGAGTTGCAACTCCAGTTCCAGGCATATCTGAAGCCCTCTATCCTCTGAGGGTGCATGTGCTCGTGTACTGAAAGTGAGTACTAAAGTATTCAGACTGGCCTTGAACTCAGGAAGGCTTTGAACTTCAAATTCTCCTACTTCACCCTCCCAAAAAAAATAGGATTATAAGCCTGCTCCTCCAGGCCTGGCTTAAAAAAAATTGTCTCTTTTTTTTTTTTGAGACAGGGCTCTTTATAGCCCTGGCTGTTGTGGAACTCATTTTGTAGACCAATGCTGGAATCAAGGCCATCATGTCCAGGCTCTTTTTAAGGGTTTTTTTTTTTTTTTTTGGTTTTTCGAGACAGGGTTTTTCTGTGTAGCTCTGGCTGTCCTGGAACTCATTCTGTAGACCAGGCTGGCCTCGAGCTCAGAAATCCGCCTGCCTCTGCCTCCCAAGTGCTGGGATTAAAAGCGTGCGCCACCACTGCCCGGCTCTTTTTTTTAATTGACATAGTAATTTTAACATATTTCTTGGGTTCTGTGTGACCTTTCCATACAAAGGTGCTACTCTGACCAGGGTAACTTTAGGCATGACCATTCTGTGTTGGCAGTATTAACTATTGTACTAGCTACCTTGAAATACCTAATTATTGTCAATTATAGTTACCCTCTAAGTGAGTCTTCCTAACCTACTTCACCTCTACAACACCCACTAGTTCTCAACCTTTCTAATCATGTGACCCTTTAATACAGTTTCTTATGTTATGGTGACCCCCAACCATAAAATTATTTTTTTGTTTTTTTTTTGAGACGGGGTTTCTCTGTGTAGTCCTGGCTGTCCTGGAATTCACTCTGTAGACCAGCATAAAGTTATTTTTATTGCTACTTCTTCATTAGCTGTAATTTTGCTAGTTATGAATTGTACTGTACATGTGTTTTCAAATGGTCTTAGGTGACCCCTGTGTCATTCAACACCCTCTCCCCTAAAGTGGTTGCAACCTACAGGTTGAGAACCAAGATGCAGTAGTCAATCTCTCTCCACTGAAAGCTCCCGCTTTTTTTTTTTTCTGCCAGGCCTTGAATATGCAGGCAGGAATACACCTCTGCCTCCTGAGTGCTGGGAACAAAAGGATATGCTACCACATTCAGCCATGTGCTGGTTTCTCTAAACTTCCTGGCTATGTGCCATCTCCCTTCACACGGTCTTGGCTACTGTGGGGATAGGACCCATACATACTGTTCCAGTAAATCGTGTTGCTTGCTTCCAAGAAAGCCCAGGAGTGAGAGAAGTCAGGCTGACCTAAAAGTCAATTAAAAAAAATTAATCTGTACTAAAGTGTTGGCTGTAAAAGAAAAGAGCAGGCTAGCTTCTAAGGGAGGTACTTCAGGCTGCTGTTTGGGAAGCTCAGGCTAGAGTACATGTTGATGGCTGCTGGCTTATTCACATACTGGTCCCCAGTAGAAGTGGAAGGCCTTCACATGTACACACTCACAGAATAATTAAAAAATTTCAAGGAGTCCAGACTCGTGTGTGGTGGAAGGTGGATGCAGCGTAAGGCCTCCATCTCAAAAACCAAAACCAAACCCATTCTTTCTCCTCAAAAACAAATAAAAACAACTATGGAGTCTGGAGCCACGGTCTAATGTCATACTTAGCATACACACATAGCATCAGTGGTCAACCTGGACTATATGAGACTTTGCCTCAAGTAATTAAAATGGCTGGGGATAGCTCAAGTGCTATTGTGCTTGTCTTGCATACATGAACTACATTTGATTCCCCAGCAAAATACACACACACACACAGAGAGAGAGAGAGAGAGAGAGAGAGAGAGAGAGAGAGAGAGAGAGAGAGAGAGAGAGAGAGAGAAACAACCCCTTTATTGAATTCTGTAGAGGGGAAACATGAGGTTATGACTAAGGGTACCAGCTTGTTCCTGTGAACTCTACAATTTCAAGGTAGATGACGTCATGCAAGTTGTTATCCATATTAACCACCATGACTTGAGGGCCTATGAGGGGAACTGATACCAATTCTCCCACACACACCTTTTTTCTTAGACAAGGTCTCTATGCAGCCCTGGTTATCCTTGGTCTCACTTTGTATATCAGGTTGGCTTCAAACTCACAAAGATAACTCTTTTGCCTCCCAAATACTGGGACTAAAGGTATGTGCTACTATGACAGCTCCCATGTTTGAATTTCTGTTTTAGAGACAAGGTCTCGCTATGGAACACTGGCTGGCCCTATTTGACTGGGCTAGCCTCACTCAGAGCTCTACTGCCTGTGCTTCAGTGCTGGGATTAAAGACATGTACCAACCAAGATGAACCCATGTATTCTTTAAGCATCTAGTGTAAGGCTGGAACCAACATTGTTTCTAGCAGTTAGAGAACCTGAAATGAGTAATGGCTCTCAGGCTTTTACAATTATGTTCATTCATATGTGTATTTATGTTAGAAGACACCATGTGGGTCCTACTTGCTACAAAATGGCCCAGCCTAACCTGGAGCAATATTGTCTCATCCTTCAGCACCATGCGCAGCTTCAAATCTTCTCAACTCTCCTCTTTCTACACTCATCTCATAGTAAAGGTCCTAGACACGTTTCCCCACAAAGCTGTACAGGCATTTTTTCAGAATCTGGGACCACAAAGTACACATGCATTTTTTTTTTAATTCAATGTGGGGTAAGGGAGGCCAACAGCCTTGCTCTCACTCTGACCTTCAACCATAGGTGATCCTGTCTTTGCCTGGAGTACCATAATAGGTGTCAACAACAAAAAAAGCATTAATAGCAAAATTTCCCATATTCAAATCCCAAGTTCACAGGCCAGCCTGGTAACTACAGAATAGCTAGGACTACAAAAGACCATGGGGGGGTGGGGGTGGGGGGACGACATGGATATCTTTTGAGGATTTCAGGACAATGTGTACCACACCAGCCAGGGATAGATTCGACAAAATAAAATCCACCAAACCACTTGCAGTGGCAGTTTATGCTAAGAGGCAGAAGTAGAGTTAGAAATTTAAAGCAACTAGTCTGGGCTATAATTTGTGGCAAAATTAAAAAGGGGTGGGCATCCAATAGAGAGCTGGTAAGATAGCTCAAATTAAGCTGCTTGTCTCAAAGCCAGACCACTTGGTTTGATCCCCAGAATGCATGTTGCACCCAGTAAGTGAAACATAGTTGGTCTCCGATCCACGTTTAAAATTTAAGCTGGTTTACTGCTGAAACGAATACTCATATACACAAAGCAGCTCTCACAACAGTAGTAGCATTTAACAATGAGATTGTAATCAATTTCTCCTGGAAACTGTCTATATACCCTTGAAATTCAGTGTAAACTATGGAGTAAACTATGGAGTCCTGCCTCTGCTTCCCCAGTGCATTAAGGGCCTGGCTTTTTTGTTTACTGTAGTCAGGTGATTGAATGCAGGCATTTTTTACTCAACAAACCTGTACCTCCAGCTGAAGTACCAGCTACAAAAGCATTTTTAAATCTTAGGACATTAACTACTAAGTAATTTGGCAGGTTCTAGTTCTTGGTGAACCCCTAAGTTAGTCTTTTAAGTTACATTTGAAAATGATAGCTAAAGCTGGGAAAATCATGTGTCCGAGTTGTAGACCAGAGCCACATAGTGACTGTCTCAAAACTATAGCTAAAAATTTTTGGGACTGAAGGGATACAAACCTTCCAGTAACAGGTGTTCACTGTAAATGCTTTTAATTTTCTATTACTTACCACTTCCCAAAGTAGGGGGTCTTCTTCCTACTCAAAAGAATTACCACACAACCAGCATTAAGAAATCCAACCTGCCCGCCCGGTATCCTACCCAAAAAATTTAGATAGGCAATTCAGTGTAATCTAGAGACCGCCCACCACCACCAATTTTAAAAAAGTTTGGCTGTTTTCCTCTACAGAGCGGTTGATTCGATTCAGCCAAGCATATTTGCTTTCTCCCAATGTACAAAAAGGCTTTATGGCCAAGCCCCACCCCTTCTGTGGCAAATTGACATTAAGGTTTTGCCATTAACTTTAAGCAAAATTTCCATCTCATATAAGCTGTAAGTGATATAAATTTTAGTCAATACCAATCTTAAATTAAATCACGCCCAAAACAATCAGTTAAGAGCCCCACCACCCAAGCCACCACAGAATTTCACAAGTGACACCATATATGCTTACCATGCAACAAAACCTTTATTAACATTTTTTAACAGAGGTTCAGCTATTATTGAAACGTGTAATTTCTAAACTTAAATTGGGGCAAATGGCTAGAGTGCAGAGTAACGCCATCATTGCCCACTGGGAATGCAGACTGAAGAATTAATAGCCACCCCTCAGACGGAGGACCAGGTGCAGGGTTGACTCTTTCTGGA